TATTTCTTCCAATTTGCATTAGCTCTTGATAGCTTACGAACCTGTATTGCTAGATCACACGCACAAGACGCACGAAAAACATGTGCACTCCTCCAACAATTTGTCATTTAACATGCCACAGGTTCCACAGCCCCTAACAGGAGAGCTACTCCTAACTGGAGCTGAGGTGCATCTCACTAACATCACTGAAGGCAGGTCCTTAAGATTCAATTCTGGAAGGTCCACCTCCATGGCAAGCAAAGACATGTGACCCAGACAAGTCCACCGGTCCCTGGGAGTGTGTGCCCAATTGTTAATCAACTCTGAAGCAACTTTGCTCAAAGGGAAGGAAAAAAATTCCTGAGTAACCACACCAAAGTGCTAAAGGTATCCATGGCGACAACCAACAGTCTTACAAACTTGAGAAATCAGAAGAAACAGTATTCCTACATTATAAGCTTTTCCATTTAAACCTAAAAAACACCTGTGCTTCTGTAAAAGCATGAATGCCACGCGATTTCTGAGAGGCTATAGTAGGACACCCCATGTGTGAAAATAGACTCCCAGTGAATTGCAACTGGACCCATTTCAGGTTTTAAAAGTTTAGCCTCCTGAATATAACTCAACACCAGGTTCTGAAAATTTAAATTACTGTTGAATTAATTTGTACAGGAAAATACATTAGATTAAAGTGTTTTGCTTTATCCTGTTTATCATTGAGATTTGTAATAGGGTGCTGAGATTGTAAAACCCGTAATGCAATAAAAGCCTTACCCACATTTCACCCCTGTGAATACGCAAGGCAGCAATCGTGTCCTTTCCCACTGTAGAGCCAACTCCTGGTACTAGGATGCACTGAATCAAATAATCTGTAACCAACTGTACCTCAGAAATACAAGGTATCCAAACAATTAAGAGAAAAAATGCAGAAAGTGTTCCCTTTATCAAATCAAATACCAAAATTTAAAAAAAAAAACATTTCTGTTCTTGCATACCTCTATACAGGTCGTTGTAAATGATCACATTGCTGCTTTTATGCAATTAAAAATGGCAGTGTTACAGGAAATGGCCTGTTCATCAAGTCTCTGAAAAGAAAGCTTTATTTTTGCCTGATTACCCACCTACACAAACAAATTCAGTGATGAAACTATAAGCTAGTATGCTATTTGTTCTGATCACCTACTGAGGCAGAAGAAAGCCAAAAATCACAAAGCATGATTAAAACAGTGCAATGTTGTTTGGCTAACAAATTAAATATATCAATTTAAAATGTGACATTGCAACAAGACTGAATCTGATTAATGTCCAGGGTCCACCCAGAATCAAAAAGGTTTATAGTACTGATTCCAGCAGGTCAGACTTCATGCTTTGTGAAGCGACATAAAATATCCTAAAAAGACATCTGAGGCAAAAACTTCAGGGCAACAAACCACTTAATTTGCAGAGTTAAGTCGTACCAGCTCAGCCTGGAACAGCTAAGTAGAAACGCAAAAAAAAACACATCGGCTGAAGTTTGCAAAAATTATTTTTGTTTCCAGTTTGTTTTTGGAAAGGTTCACTGTCTTTTAATTTCCAGTCATTCATTCTTCTCTCCCCAACCCTTTCTCCCCGACGAGTGCTTTGTGGTTCTCAGTGATTTATGGATTAGTTCCGGTTTGCCTAATGAAACAGCCAAAATGATAAAATGAGAGACACCAACTGCACCGTTTCTTCTAATGAGTTCTGAAGCACAGCATATTGACTGATGAAATGCAGGTTCGGCTGGAAGATCAAGGGAAGGATGAAGCACAGGGGCACAGAGGAGACAGAAAAAATGAATGAAATGGCACAATGCAGATGAAAACTGGAAAAAAAACATTTAAAAATCTCCATTAAAAAGTCATACCCAATTGTGCAGAGCTGCACAGCATTTTGTGGTTTGCATTCATAGAACTTGAGTAAATTACAAACTTTGTAGAAAAAGCTTAAATGAAGATGAGCACCATAGAGAAGTGCTACTGTACACGGTTTAAAAATGACAGATTTCTTCAGTAATCTCTCGTGTTTGTATGTAATCTTTCTAGTCACAAATACAACTAGCAACAGGCCCCCATCACATGACGGAGAACATGCACCTCAATTCTAATGCTAATTAGCAGTAAAAAGATCCCAGGGTCTTACCCAGCCAGAAGCCAGAGTACTGTCCTGCTGGAAAGTTATATTATATCAAGATATAAGTGGTCAAATCAGGATGAGCCCACATCAAAAGCAGCAAGTAAGGTCCAGGAAGAAGTGACTAGATACTTAGACCTGAACAGACCATAGAACCTGGATGATAAATTTATCTATATTTAATAAGCGCCAGGACTTCCAAATCTTGAATTATCATTGAGGAACTACATTTGGCTGTTATATCTTGCCAGTTTAGAAATTGCTGGCTCTGAACATCCCAGATGGTGAGCGTGTTACTTCTGCTCCCAACAAAGATAACTCAAAAGATGTTCTCTAGATAAGAAGGCTTCCCATATGCGTTTTCTTTTTAATTGTCACTAAGCCTGGCGTTCAACAGGTATCACCTCTGTCCAGTCAACTCTCACTAATGGGAATTAGGGGTTATGTAGAGTCAAAATCACAGTCACCAAGGATTAATTAATCCAAATGGCAACAATAACATTTAATCAAAACCCTAAATTCATTTACTTTTTCTTAAAGCTTAAAATGAACATTTTAAATACTTTAAACATTTCAAGAATATTCCTAGAGCAACTATATAAAATAAGAAAAAGTTTTAAAAAGCCATTATTAAAAAAAATAAAAATAAAAAAGCCATTATTAAATAGAAAAAAAGATATTCTGCAATTTAAACAACCAATCCTGTTTTGCTCCACTCTGAATATACATCACAAATCAAGTCCCAAAATGTATTACACCACTAAACTAAATAAAATCATTTTAAATTTAAGTATCTAGGTCCAATGGCATATATATTGAAGGTCACATATTTAAGACATTTTAGTGTGATACTTACTTTAATGCATTCGAATTAAATCATTAAAACAGAATTAAATCATTTCCATATAAAGCCCAATCAGTTAACAAAAAAAGACTACACGTGCTGCCACAAAATTCAATAACCCTCGGCTCTTAATCTTTCAAAAGTACAAAAAATTGATCCAAGCAGCTAACATTATAAATTGATTGTTACAATGTCTGAATCAGACTTATCAACATGCTTTCTATCCCAAGGCAGATCTTAAAAAGAATTGCGATAATTTCCTCTGTCACGTGTCGCATACATGAGAGCTCCCCAGGTCAAAATGTTGAATAATTTATGGCAGAGGAGCCCAAATTCAGTCCTTAACGTCCACTACCTCCAACTTCTTAAGAACAAGGAAAGGCATTAACCTATTCAATTAAGTAAATAAGAAGTTCAGGGAGATAATTAAGGGCAGAGGTGGCCCTAAAGGACAGGAGCTGTGCTCCCCTGGTCTGGAATTAACCAGGAGGCCTTTACAACAGAGGGAGCCTGACTGAGATGTGATGACAATTATTCACACCTACATCTGAAGGACCAGATAGGACTTGTTTTAACAACTATGGGAGAACAACTTTAAAGCAAGTTAAAACAGCTCAGTCTGCTCCATTTATTCAAAATGATACACACAAAGGAGATTTCTGAATCTAAACCTGAGTGCAAAGCACAGTTAAAACTCACTCAGCTGTTCAATACACCTAATAAAGAGCTGAGCTGGAATGGCTTATGAAGAATTTTACATAAAAAGCCCTCCTTACTTGCTGGTCACTGATATCTGAAGCCGGCGGGTTACCTTTGGTAATAAGGAAAAGAACATTAATAAAATGACGTGTGTGCAGGTACAGTGCACAGCCAGCCTGCTGCGCTGTACACACTGCAGATGGAATGTGAAAACACGCTGCAGTGCTGCGTGATCTAGGTAATTATCTACTGTTAGCTGTCCAAACAGACAGACAGTAATTTAAAGCCTTCATTCAACTTAAGTCCAGCTGCGGCAATCTGTGCAATGTCAAAGGTGTTTTTTTTCACTTGTTTTTGTTGTTGACTTGTTGTTTTCTGGTTTTAACTTTTTTTACATTTGAGGAGCCACAGTGCTCTCTGCTGGTCAGCGGGAGAACCTCACCTCTCACAAGAAGCACTTCAGTGAAACATTTCAGTGGTGAATCCACTCTTCCTGCAGAGCCTCTTAAACAGATGCCAGCTTTCATTATTTGTCTCTGGCATAACGGAGTAGGACAGTTATCCTACTAGAATCAACACTAAAAAACTTCACTCCAAGAGAGTGAAGTACATTTGTCCTCTTAAGCAATAGAAAATGGACTTCTGAACTTGACCTTAAAGTGGTTTCTCATATAAGCACAGCTAGATTTACAAAACATATCATAGCAACCCATTTCAAAAACAAAGTAAAAAAAATTGTCAGCAGATAAAGAAAAATTAAACTGTCTCGTCAAAGTCTAAATGAATTCATTTTCAACAGATCAGTCTATAATGGGATACTTGTTTAATTTAAAGTGTTAAAAACAAGCTGTTTCCAGAGAAAAACTGAAATTTTCTTACAAGTGAGGCTGTTGGCAGAATCAAGTCATTAAAAGCTACAAGCTGTAGTTCAGCAGCTGTCTCTTTTCAGTGCTTGTCTGTCAGAATTACAAGAACTGTCATCTTCACAAAATTGATTTGTACTTCAGCATATTAAAATTCAATATAAAGAAAAATAAGAACTCTCAATAGAATCTATGTTTTGTTATACTACATCGCCCTCTGCTGGCTAGAAAGATGAAGACATTTTTTTTTCTAAAACACCTGCCATACAGAGATCATGTAAAGTTAATTCCCAGCTGAAGCTCTTGAGCAGTGATCGGGCCTTTCACACGGGTAGCTTTCCCACAGAAATCAGAAGCACAAAGAAAATGCAATGTAAGCAGAATTTTCACACAACTCCGCACAACCCAGGACAAAACGCCCGTGAAGTTTTGAAAACAAATCAGAGGTGCAAAATGAGACTCACCAAGACTTGGGCTCTCCAAAGTGCAGATAGTTGATGCTGTAGAGGTCCATGTCCTCCGTGTGCCAGGCAAAGGTGGTCTTCCACATCCCAAAGTACAGATAGGGGGTGTTCACCCCCTCAATCACGATGCCACACTCCTGCTCCACCATGTCCAGCAGTGTGTTCAGGTGCCCGATGTTCCACTCACCTATGCCCTTCAAAAGAAAGCAGGGAGAAGGGTGTCACCCAAAGGTCCTGACCACAGGTGAGTCAAAGGGCAAAGAAATGAAAAGCTTACAGTGCCGTGCAAGAGCGCTCACGCCTTCAAATGAGTGTTGAATTACAACAGAAGTACTAGCAATTTTAAGAAGAATATTTTTAATCCAACCTAAATGCTCAACAACACTTATGCATGACTGTGGTCCGAGTGGCTCTTGTGAACCAGGGGTACTGGCAACCTGTGAAATACATTTGGTGACTAAATACATATATTTCATTTCTTAGACTTCTGAATACCTCAGAAATCTCTTAGTCCTTTCCAAAACCCCACCTTAATATACATCATAATTTCAAAGAAAAGCCAGAAAAAGTTGTGAAATTGTCATCTAGCTGTTGAAATGGCAAATGTGAGAAAAGCAAAAGTATTACATCAACACATCACACTTTACAAAAAATATTTGGACCAAGTAATGGTTTCAGCAATAAAGGATGCCTAGGCTTGTGTTGCCGTTTGCAATGCTCTGTAATGCTTTCTTGCTCCTCATGGGGGCAAACACTGAAAAGCTAAGCATTCGCGATCCTTACAGCAGCTCTTATATTTTCCAGGATGAAATTGGCATTGGCTGAAAGCAGCGACTCCAGGGTACACGAGGAATCTACTGTACACATGAACAGCCTGCCTGGGGCTGGGGTATAAAGACTGGCAGCCCGCACTAGCTCTCTGTAGCAGATCTTGCCCTTTCACTATTGCCGCTAGCTAAGTTTATTTTTAAACAGGGCTATTTAAGCTGGATCAATGTTGTGCCTTTAGGTAAATTACAGAGCGCAGTCAAACCTCATCATAATAGACCTGGGGGGAGGTTTGCAATGAGGGTGTGCACATTAACACATGCTATGACATTTTGAATCACAATATGAAAAAAACAGCAATACCTGCAGTTGTTAATATACTAATGCACATAATAGAATCCCAATACACTGTATCATATCCATAATGCTTTTAAACATTACATCCAATTGAAGGTTTCTGGCTGGTAAACAATCTGCCAAGGGGTGATGACCGAGTTTGTTTCCTTCTCCAAGCAGATCAGCATTTGACAACCCTGACCAGCAGGTGGTGCTGTTCCTCACAGACGGGAATTTTCAAACCAATGCCTCAGTATGCTGACAACAGAGACTGTGCTGTAACAGGAGGTGTATTACTTTAGAAGTATTTAATCATTGAAACTCCTAAGGCATTTTCCATAGGAGTCAGCCCCAGTTTTCCCCAGTATTTCAGTTAAGTTCCACTTTGAGCTTGTACAATCTGGCCTCTGTAAATTCCTTTATTCAACTTAAATTCTCACTTGCTTTGTAAAGTGTTTAATAAAACTAACAAATTCTAGAAAAGGAATTTAACACAAATTAGAGCTAGACAGTATTACTTCAGATTGAAAAAAAGATGATTATCTTAAGTGATTCTTCATTACTTTGTAATAAAGCCGAATCAGCAAAAAAATTAAGTGAAGAGCTTAGTGTCCACAGCTTTCAGGATGTCCTGGGTGGAGATGTCAGAACTGTAGTCCCTTTATAATATCTATAAACATTTTGCTAAAATGAAATTAAAAAAAATGTCCTGTAACATTCCGGGAAAGGTGGGGTCACTCAGTATAAACAATATTTTATAGAATGAACAACCTGGGCCGCACACCTTTTAACAAAGCTGGATTTATGTAAACCAAGTTCCCATATATATTTTGGTTTTTGCAGAGGAGGACCAAATAGCAGCTACTAAACCATCCACTGTGCATTCACATTATGACCACTAGGTGGAGATCAAGGCTCTCTGTTACAACAGGGCACCAATCTTAACAGCGGGCACATTTAATAGCATATAAGGTGTCTGTGTGAGTTAAGCTTTGGATGAAAAAAATTCTACAGTTTCATTCAATTTTAATATTATGCATATTAAAAAAAATATTTTTCTTTATAGAAGTTTACTTTTTAAATTGACAGCTGTCAGTGACCAGATCCTGTGAAACATGGCAGCAGTGGTCTAATAACTTGACCATTCTGTCGAAATACTGCGCGCTGCAGCTATACCCTTGAGCAAGGTACTTTATTCCAATTACTCCAGTATAACAACGGTATAAACTGTATAAAGTACAAATGTAAGCTGCATTTTATAAAAGCAACAAATTGATGAATGACAAGTCTCATTCTTCAAACCACCAGTCCTCAGTGGAATCATGCAGGAATACTGAACAACACTGCATTTAAAACTTGAACGCTGCCACAGCTGTCAATAGAAAAAATCCTCAGAGCAAATAATCGCTATATCTGCCTTTAGACACAAGCAGCTGGAGAGTAAGGCCACCTCTGAGCTTATCTATTGCTTCCCAGCATTTCTACTTGCATCTACCACGACCTCACTCTGCGAGGCATATGTCCATCCCTCGGGCCACGCTTACCTTGTCGTAAAGCGAGCCACTGATGTCTGCTCCGTAAATAGGAGAAACAAAAGTCAGGTTCTTCCAGTATTTTCGCTCTAGATCCTCGAAATCCTGGTGTCGAGGAGTGCAGTATCTGCAAGAGAAAGGAGCAAGATGGACAGAACCACGTTATTTAATTCGACGGTGCTCTCTGTAAGGTGGAGCCACTGTGACGGAGTAGGCCTGTGGTAAGAGAACTATTGAAAGGCACCCAAGTGGCTCAACCAATAAAAGTGTTCAGTTGAGTGCAGGCTGTCCTAAGACCCAGGTGTTGTGGGTTCAAGACAAGGTTGTGCCAGTGGCCAAGTGTGGCCACAGCAGTGCCCGGCGGAGAGAGCAGCGATGAGAGGATTGGCATCAGTCTGCGTGACGTGACACAGCAGCCTCTGATCCCTGCAGGAACACTGCAGGTCTGCGGTGCGGTTGTGAGGTGCACACGTCTCCCACTGGTGCCACAGGCTTGAGAAGGAAATATCTCAAGGAGAAAATTACTCACAGATTTAAAAATCAACATCAACATCTGTAAAAAGCTGGTCAGAACATGTAGATTCTCTTTCTGTAATGTGTAGCAACAAAGACACTGTAGACAATCAGAATGTGTATCAAAAGCAACGCAATATATTTTGAATTTCTACATGAACCTATTTTCATGTTTAACGTGTTTCATGAACCTGTTCCGTAAAACGAGAGGTTAAGATGAACCCTCAACTCAGACCTGTTTTTCTCAAGGAAAACACTTTCTAGGTTCCACCTCGTTTCAGAGCTGTACTTGAATCTCAGACATACCAGCCTTTCAGGCGTTTCTTCCCACTGCTGCCAAATAAAAGTTACACAAACATGGGAAAGCTGGAACACAATGACAGCAAAATAATATATCTACTGTTGCATCAGCATGAATGCGACAGGCAACAGACAACGAGTCTCGATGCCTCACCACCCAGCCAGATGGTCACTCTGGTGCACAGCAGAAATGTCGGTATGAGGTGCTGGAAACAACACATTCCTGCCTGTCATTTGTTCTGTGCTGCCGCATTACAGATATAGTCAAAGGTGTTGTGAAGGACAGCCCCTCTACACAGCAAATCAGGTGGAGGAGTGAGAAACTGCTTCACCGACTGATTTACACCAGAATGTTCAAGACCAGAGGTGGTTTGAGCCTGGTGAACCGTGCTAGGGGATAACAGGCACTGATTGCAGCTAGAAGGTGGAAGGGATCATTAAAGAAAAATATTTCACAATGTTATTTTTTATAATAAAGACACTGTGGAAAGAACAAACAATTCATAAGACAACCCAAGCCATTAAAATTGAGTTACAAGAAAACTAATGTACTCAGCTTGCAGAGTCTGTACAATTTCTAAAGTAATGCATATGTGCATCCAGTACTGTTATCTCCACTTTTAATGGCAAGGTTCATTTTTGTGAATTGGCAGCTTTTGAAATGTTTACCGGGCTTTCGGCAGAGACAGAACTTTTTATACTCTTTTTGATTATGCAAACTTATATTTTACTAAATACTCCTGGAATATTCAATGAGCTAATAAACTGTTGAAGAAGGCCTTGAAAATGTATCATTGCATTGTGCACACAGCCTGCACAGGATTTATAATTACTAAGTCACAGATGCTGTTAAATATTACACAATAAAATCCGTGACCCAATGTGCCAAACAAGAAACAAATATGGACTGAGGATAAATGCCTATGCTTTGGAAAAAAGCTAGGTGTTTTCATTCATCACTGCAGGCCATGCGAGTTAGCTTGTAGTTTGTGGATTTGCTTTTACATTTTGTTCCCACGCTGTCAGACTGAGCACATGGCAAGGCAGGCATGCTGGTGGGCAGCAGGAAACGCGTCCCGTTTCTCCAGCAGTGGAAACAGGGTGTTACTGAGCTTTAATACCCTCCCTCCCTTCCAGTGCTTCAGTCTCTCCAAAAGCTTTTGTCCACACTGCAGGCGTGTAGCATTACAATCAACGGCTTACATCTCCAAGGTGAAACTGTTAACATTGTATAATAACATTTGTTCATGCCAGATGTCATATACCTCAACATGTCAGATTATATAATAAACAGGAAAATAGACTTCTTTCTGTCAGTTTTGGAAATAGTGGGCATTTGTCACCTTCTCTGGCAGGAAGCAACACGGTCACAGAACTCTGCACTGTTGCTTCTGGCAAGAGGCAAGTGGTACTTTGAGCATCAGTACACACATTTTAGAGCAAACAAGAATGAATGAGTTGGTTCTACATTCTGCCAGGATGTAAACAACAAGAAGCTGTTACACCCCGTTATTTACTTTATTTACTGAGGGAATTCGGTAATTCTACAGTTTGCCCTTTGCCACCTTGACTTACACATGAAATGTCCCTTTAAACAAAGCATTTTTAGCGTTGGCAGTGCTTGGGCCTGTTGCCTTAAGCAGCCTGAGGCTGTTGGACACACACCCTGCAGTGGTCTTACACTGCACCAGAAGCGCAGCACACGCAGCAGGCATACATACTTCTCGCTGTTGGCCAGCTTGCGGTACTCGCCCACCGTCATGGACTTCTTCTGGATGTTGTACTGAGTGAAGAGGCCGGACTGGCCAGTCACGACCTGCATGATGGGCGCAGGGATGACCATCTCGTCGATGGAGTCGTACGACTTCCGAGGCTTCCATTCTTCCGGAGGGATGACCTGGAGAACCAAGACACGCGGGATGAAGCCAGAACACCCATCTCCCCAGGTTTTCCCCCCCTCGAATGTCAGGATCTCAGTATCTTGTGGTTTCTATTGAAAATTCAGATCACATCCCCTCATTTTCAGCCATGTTACTCCAGTACAAAAGACTCAGATTTATCCTAAATCAAATGGCTATGAACACAGATAACAAGAACTTAAACTCTTCTGTTAGGAAGGCTTTAAAACCATAAAACAACTGTGATGAAAAAGTTTACCATAGCCACTGTTTTAAATGATGTGAGCAGAAAGCTAGTAGAAACTTAAGGCAGTTTTTCACCATAGCTAGAACACATCTTTTTAAACCAACTTTGCAACAGATGAGCAAAACACCTTTTGGAGGCAGAGAAGCTGTGATCCTTCAAAACTGAGCTCGATGGTGTTGTTGCGTTTTGCGTTTTTACACAAAGAGACAGAAGAAGGTAATTCTACTTCAAAAGATCAATCAAAAACATGAACATGAATAACCCCAGAGATTCATCATAGTTTAAACATGCATTTTTAAGTGTTGAATAACCAAGCAGGTGGCTTACTGTAATTGAAGTACAGTGTTATGTAAAAAATTGGTAAACAGTTCTGTGCTTTTTTTACCCAAATTAAACAGTGGATTGAATGGTGGAAGTTTACTTCTTAAAAACTGTTAGTACTAAATATTCCACCTAACAGTTCACAATTACTGTAGCAAATGTATATTACAAGTAGGCACACAAAAACCCTTTGGCTACCTTTGCCAGTCCAGCTCTGTGGGCTCCCTGGGATTCAATATATGCAATGTACTTTCCGAAATCTCGGAATTCTTCCATGGTAGGCCGGAACGTCATGATCTTGCAGCCTGGGTTCTGGGCATTTGGGTTTTCGGAGGCCATGGCTGCAGTCCTGAAACAGAACAAACAGCAATCACACAAAATGAAACAGGACTGAAAGGATTCCCCATCCCCGTAAAACAGTTTATGCGAAATAAGAGTAATTAAAAACAAGTCAGCACTACAGCAATACAATTCCCTGAAGCTCGTGCAATAGAATATGCAAGGTCACAAAACAATCCTTAATTCCAATACCGAGCCTGCTAAGAACTGAGGGTCCAGTTGTAACAGCAGGTCATGGAAAGAACTGGAAGTCCTTTAGAGGCTGGTCTACAACAAGTATGAACAAACGAAGTTTTTTTTAGTGGATTAGAATTATACCTATGGATTGTTTTTTCAAAGTTGTATTGATGTTGGCAATTTAGAACCAGAGAATGGATTCAATTAAGTAGTCATTGAATACTTTAGAAGCAGAAATGAAACTGTGTTTACTTTAGAAGGATGGAATTTACTGTATCGGGAGGTATTGTAAATATGCACACCAATTACCTTCTTAGAACAGGCTTTCAAGTTGGTTAATCCTGAAAGAAAGAGTGAATTCCTCACATATCTTTGCTTAAATTCTCTCATAGAATTCCTCTCATAGGCTTGTCATATGTCATACAACATCATGAAGTTAAGAATTTTTATCAGATCTTTAAAAATATTTTGGGTATCAGAAGAAATGCATCCAATCATTGTCACCATGTGCATGTACTGTACAATAAAGAGGAAAAATGTAGTTTTTTATCCATGTTACTCCAGTATAAAAGACTCCGATTTATCTTAAATCGCAATTCTTTTAGGCACACGTGTCTAAGAGCCCCATTTCACTTCTGTGACAATGACAGCACAGAGCAGGTTGTGGTTTAAGAACAAACAGGAAGTAGAAGAGACTGTAGTCTTGTCTTTTGCAATGTTTAAAGAAAAATGCCTAGTTTCTAAGCCAGACACTGTTACAAATAAGTAAGACCCATCCACAGATGACAAAGTATCTCTCCACAGAACTGAAACCAATTTAAGTCCAAGGATAAATGCAGCCATTGTTGAAAATCTATACAGGAACAATTCTGACCCTTGCGCTTTGTGTCACTTAGAAGTTCCAAACCCTACGTCAATGCAAACTAGAGATAAAGAGAGGAGATAATGGTGTTAGATCTAAAAAAGAACAGCAGACACTTCTCTGAAGCACTGCAGAAAGAGATCCAGAGGAACACTGCCTAGGATGACTGAGGTAGGTATGACACTGTTGGTGGAGGTCAGCTAAGAGCATAAGAAAACCACAAGCGAGCACCAGTGGACAGCATCAGATACTAGAAACTCAGGTTGTTAACAACGAGGAGCTCCAGTGTGGCTCAACCTCTAAGTCCTCATTCAGAGTTGAGGTTCAATGCCATGTCTGAGGCCTGAGTCATATCATCAACGCAATCCAATAAGACACGACAGAGAAGTGTATGCAAACTGTCACTAAGTTTTCATTGAATCCCACAAACTTACTGACCATGTTGCACAAACACCAGACTTAAAAAGCTAAGAGAAGGATAATTACCAAACAACTGAGATAAAGGTATAAGAATAACCCACTTAAATGCAAAACAATTTTGTACATCCAAACCAATTAAAATTTATATTCAGCTAAGAAAATCTGCTAAAACAGCTAACTTACAGCTTGCGTCTCCTTCACTTAGCAACACAAGTAATGAATATTCCTACTGCGATAGTAAAGAGAAACACTAATTTGATTAAAACTTGCTCCTTTTACCCCCACAGGACATTCCCCCAATTAACAAAGCACAGACCTTAATGAACCTGATTATACCCATCTAAGATTTCCAACACTCAAGGGAACTGGTAGACTGGGTCTCAGGTTATAAAAAGATCACACAGCAGACCAGAGGAGGCTTAGCTCTGTGAAGTGAGTAGGCTTTCATGATTGAAAACATACCTAATAGCAAACCTAGAGCATCCAGGCACAGAATTTATCTTGCTGTGCTCAACTTTGCCCCATTCCAACATGCAAACTTGCTTCTATGGGAATTCTGGCTTCGAATGGCTCCAACCAGGAGTGAGCTTGACTTTTTAACTTGCCTCGCATTATCTGGAAGGGGTCCTGAGTGAGGGTCTCAAAAACTGAATTAAATATAAACACTGTCCATATTTACCATTTTTAGTCACATTTCAACAACCAATGCTAGAATAGATGGGGCCTTCAGACTGGAACAGGGTTATGCAAAAGTTTTAGGAAGTGTGTCCACAAGAATAACTTGATTTCACAAGGACTACTTCAGTTATCCAAGCGTGTCAGGAACTTTCGTTCACATGCAAGACTAATGAAGGAATAAATTCAGTCTACATGGAAAGGGCACTATTAACATGACACCAGAAAACAAGAGAAAATTACCTAGCCTAATAAATTAAATAGAAGCAAGCACATTGTGAAGGAAGAAATGATCGTTTTGTTTTTCAAAATAATTCTATTTGCTTTTTACAGTGCGGCAGTTAAGCAATGAAAGTGATCAAATCTCCATATTAGTGATTAGTTTGTCGGTTCGACACCAGCTCCCTCTCTGGCTCAGGCTGATAGCTGCACACAGCTTCCTGGGAAACCTCAGCTATAAATTATAATTAAGATTCATCTGAGGAAAGCAACGTACCTCAACCAAGAAAAAACATTGCTGTTCCAGAAACTGCTTGTTTTCTGCTGGATTGCTGATGCATGAGTTTGAACATCTGCATCAAGATAACTACACAAGCGTATTTCACTCCCTCAAAAATCACAAAACGTTTCATTTTTAAAAATGGTTATGTTTGATCCAAGTGACAAAACATAGAAGAGTTAAATATAAATCTCCAATAGTCTCAAAACAATGCACTTTAAAGATCTACAGAGATCTTTAGTAATTTTAAAGGAGTCAGAAGTGAAAAGCTAGCTAATCATACAGAGAGCCATGCATCACCGATTGCTGGGGGGGATTAATCTGGATTCTCCAGTCTTATAGTGCCAAAAGCCCTGCAGCCTCTTCTACATTTCGTGCTGAATTCTGCATTTCCAATTCCGGGTTTTGCCTGCGTCGCCCTACAAAATGAAGGGCTCAGATGCATCTGCCTACACCTCAGTCTTCTGTGTGCAATGAGAGAGCTCATAGCTGGGAGCCAATGTGAAAAGCATGCACTGATAGTTCAAATTGGGTGGGCTTAGATTGTATTTACAATAACTGAGACCAGGAGGCCTTTTGCTCACTCACTTAGGTTGTGGGAGGAAAAAGCAACCAAGCCAGGCCGTCAAAACTAATATCCTTCAAGAAACACCTTGATACAATACCTAGAGTTAGTTGTGTTAGATTGAGCTTCTCTTGTTTATAACCTTATCTTCTTATTGGGCAGTGAAAGTCACCTGGAGATGTAGTTCTCCAGAAGAAAGCAGAGATTAGGAGTGAAAAACAGCAGACAGCACCCTCACCCCTAGCCCTCTATAGTACAATTGTTTCTTCCAAACATTAAACCTATAAATATGTACCCAAAGAATTCCAGGATTTCTTATGGATCAAAACCTTGTATTTGGTAAGCTACTCCTAACACATTGCACTGAGCCAAGATGTAAGTGTCTTCAACTTATCCAAAGAATAATAAATGATAAGCAGCTTCATAACATGATTATATTTCCTGAACTTAAAAACAATTTTTGGTTCTAACTAACCAAAAGTGCAAATAAATTATATACAGAAAGATTTTTTTAAAAAGCAAAATGGCACAGTGGTTGGCATTGCCTCCTCACATCTCTTCACATCACCAATGTGATTCTCAAATGAGTCTAAAAGATTTGATGAAGTCAGCATCCTAGACAGTAGTCCACTGCAGTAATGAACTGCATCTTGAATGACAGGAGTTTGCATCTAAAGTAAATTACACAATGAAAACCCACAGGATCATAAGCAGTGTGATGGGAAGGGGATATTAGTCTTACCTTATTTTTAAATTAAAACAATAACAGAGATAGCATCCAATATATGTATCCGTTTTAGATTGGATTTCTGTACAGCACACAAGGAAAAATACATTTTATGCCGTTGAAGATGAGACTTCACTACAGTCATGTTATTCACATCTGGGAAACAGGTAGAAGAATGAAAGACCTGCACTTGAATGGACTAGACAAAAATACACAGCTAAAGATATGAGGCCTTCAAAACACCAGATGTTTTTCACATGGTCAACAACAACAAACTGAACATTATATGGAAAATCATATCACAATAGGTATATTTAATACAACATAAAAAATACTGGGTCGAAGCAGTGATGTGCGTACACACATGGCAATTCGGAAAAACATCATAGCACTGGTGGCCTGAAGATGAACAAAGAGAAAAACTATAAAACTTCCTTTTTCCTTAGAAAGGTCTTCTAAACTGCAAGTAATCTAGCCAACAAATCAAGTTTCTGGAACTGCGTTATACATGAGGAAACTCTCCCCCTCAACATAATTCTACACTGGTGATTAAGAATGCATCATGAAACACATTCCCAAGAGTTATGATAATGTTGCACACCGGAGGGTACTGCACTAGCTGACCACGGCCACACTCACAAATTCATTCTTATTCAAACACTCCAAACTATACTGTTTTTCTGTCTGCAAAAGAGGGTTTCATTTTCTCTATAGTTACTTTCAAGAACAGGAAACCTGTTTGCATTAGCTTTAAGGTTTCTTACATCGCTAAAACCAGGCCAGTTCATTGTGCCCCTTGCGCAGAACTGGAAGAAAATCTCACAGCATGGAGAGGTCTGCCAAAGACTGTATAATTTTTTCATAGTTTTACAAGTTTTATTTTAGATTTTTCTTTGCAGTTTTTACCACCAGCTGTACTGACAGTTTGAGAATTCAAGTTTGTATTAAAAATATTCACTTAAAAAATGTACACATCTGCAATTCAACAAATTGGGAAGTCTGGGAAGGGGGGAAATAAGATTTTTTTGTGAGGACATTTTCCAATACTTGTAAACAAAGCACTGTTTATTTTCCTTTGGACATTT